ATCCGAATCTTTATTCCTGTCCATTGCGCAATACCTATTTGGTGGTGTTTTACTTCCTGTGAAGTGTGAACTCGTGCAGATGCAACACTACTCATTCACAGGGGCACCACTTAGTGTTGGTTAATCCTGTGAATATAGTCAACTATGCTAATTGAAAATCGCCGAGAGCTGCATGGCTGCTGTGGATGCTCGTGATGCTTTGTTTTGATTTATCGAAAACAGAGGAGCGAAAGCTTTTGCCCTGTATTCCTAAACATTCAAGTTTGTTTTCCTGGAAATATTGGGGGTTCATTCTCATTGTCGATGAGCTGTAGAAATAGAAGATCGTGTTGACTTTGTTTGAATATTTTCATCCTAAAACTCGAGCTATAGAAATAGAAGATCGTGGTGACAATGGCACTCAACAAGGAGTACACATACGCGGAGCTGGAGAAGGAGCCGTACTGGCCGTTTGAGAAGCTGAGGATCTCCATCACTGGTGCTGGCGGGTTCATTGCCTCCCACATCGCGCGCCGCCTCAAGAGTGAGGGCCATTACATCATCGCCTCTGACTGGAAGAAGAACGAGCACATGTCCGAGGACATGTTCTGCCACGAGTTCCACCTCGTGGACCTGAGGGTGATGGACAACTGCCTCAAGGTCACCACGGGGGTTGACCATGTGTTCAACCTCGCGGCTGATATGGGTGGGATGGGCTTCATCCAGTCCAACCACTCTGTGATCATGTACAACAACACCATGATCAGCTTTAACATGCTTGAGGCTGCTAGAATTAACGGTGTCAAGAGGTAATTTCTCGCCTGAAGGTGGCTCTTTGTTTATCATGCTTTTACCCCTGATGAGCTAATCTTATTGTCTCCAATGATAAAATTGTCCAATGAGGAAATCTTGAAATGCAAACAAACTGCAAAGATAATACTTTTGTCCATGAAAATTTTGCTGGTTTTCTACCGTGAAGAATTATTAAACAGTCCGCATTAATTACTATATTAAGGAAAGCCGTTAATATGTTTGCACGTGCACCGGCACCACTTAGTATATTCTTTTTTGGGTTTGAAACTTTGGATTGGTCCACAAAGGGTATTCATTGGTCTCTTAGGCTCATTTGATTGATGGCGCTAAGCGACAACCTGGGAAAGTATCATAAGATTTATTATCCTGTTCCCATGCTGCACATAGCATATTCATGTGTAGACATAAATAGCCCATTGTGAAATATGCATTGGCGGGCTTTTCCACTTGTTGAGTTGATGACGCCGGACAAGTATATCTTTGCCTGTCTCTCGTCTGTGACGTGGAGGTACTGACCTTGTCCATTTCTTTTGCCTAGATAATGGTCCTCTCATATACTTTCTTAAGGTGTATAAAGTATTGAGAAACTTCCAAATATGATATTGAATTTGTGTGCACTTTTAACCTTTAAATGGTGCAGTTACAAAATTAAACGTTAAATTCGGAAAACAAAAAACTCAGGAAATGTTTGCATTTGTTTGAAGGGCCAAAAACAAACTACTTTATGAGAGCATTGCTGTCAAATGCAACTGAGGTTAATTTAGTGCTCATCCCTTGAAACAAAGTTTGAAATTTCTGTCTGTTTCCATGGCAGGTTCTTTTATGCATCAAGTGCCTGCATCTACCCTGAATTTAAGCAGTTGGAAACTGTAGTTAGCTTAAAGGAGTCAGATGCTTGGCCTGCTGAGGTTTCTAAACTTTCACATTTCTTTATGCTTGTGTTAATTGCCTCTTACTTGAGCTGCGACTTGTGAAGTTGAAATGGTTTTAACTGAAGTGATGCCTAATTTTTAGCCTCAAGATGCCTATGGCTTGGAAAAACTTGCTACTGAGGAACTGTGCAAGCACTATACAAAGGATTTTGGCATTGAGTGCCGGGTCGGTCGCTTTCACAACATATATGGTCCCTTTGGAACATGGAAAGGTAAGTTGCTATCTGGTAACTAGTAATATTTTGCCAGTTTTTGTTGGTGCTCTCAATTTTCTAAATGATGTTGCCCTATGTTTATTATTTGGCAATATAGGTGGAAGGGAGAAGGCGCCTGCTGCTTTCTGCAGGAAGGCTTTAACCTCCACTGGGCGCTTTGAGATGTGGGGCGATGGCCTGCAAACCAGATCCTTCACATTTATTGATGAATGTGTTGAAGGTGTCCTTAGGTAAGCAAAATTTCATCTCACCTTTGGCTGCTACATTATAATACTTTCCTTTTCTTTCAGATATCTTAGGTTAAGCTCATACTAATTAACATCAACCTAGTCTTGCTACTATGTCCCAAGAGAAAGGTTTAGTTGTCTCTGACATGCAGTTTTCTAGGGGTGTGGTTGGACAAAAAGATATGCTTTGGTAAACACATTTTATATGGGCCTTAGTTTTTTTGTGTAAGGCCTTTCTTGAAACATTAATGTAGTCCCTACAGATCGATAAGGGCACAACTAATTTGCTTTTGGCTCTTTAGAAATTCATACTTACTTCAAATTCTACAAGATGAAATGACAGGGTAGTTCTTCACTTCTAAAACAGACATGCTCCTTCTGAAACAGGCAAAATGTCCTGTAATTTCTGTTGTTTATGTCACTATTTAGCTTGGATGCTATGGCTATATTTGCATAAGTTCAACCTTAAACTGCAACCTAACAGTGCAATCTGCTAAAAGGTACTATTTTGCTAAATGTTTTCTCAACTAATAGTAACGAAGCATTGGACAAAGGAAAAAAAACTATGAAATTTGCCTTCCATTTCTGAGCTTTGAATAAGTATCCTTGAAGCTTTGACATCTCCGGCAAGGATCTTCCAAAGCTCACAAAGTCTGTGTTGTCATCACCTTTGTCTCTGCTTGAACATCAGAGATCGGAGTTGAAAAACAACACAACATTTGGTAGAAAACCGTGTTGTCATCACCTTGTCTTTGCTTGAACATCAGATATCGGAGTTGAAAAACAACACAACATTGGGTAGAAAACAAAAAAAAAGGTGTGAATTTATCTTTCTTTGCTTCTGAGCTCTGAATCAGTATCCTTGAAGCCATATACGTCTGCAGCAAGGATCTTCCAAAGCTTAGAAAGTCTGTGCTGTCATCACCTTTGTCTTTGCTTGAATATCAGAGATCGAAGTTGAAAAACAGCACAACATATATTATAACTTAAAAAATGTGAATGTGGCCTTCTACTTTTGAGCTTTGAATAACTATTCTTGAAGCCATATACATCTGTGGCAAGGACCTTCCGAAGCTCATAAAATATGTTGCTGTCATCACCTTTGTCTCTGCTTGTACATCAGAGACCGGAGTTGAAAAACAGCACAACATGTAACAGTAAGCTAGTAAATATTATTCATTAAAGAGTATCTCCTTATTTTATAGTAACAAGCAAGTAAATCTTGTTCCCTTGACATTACTTCACACTTGTTCTACAAAAAGGCTCTGAGTAATTCTCGTTTTGGTTCAAATGAAATTGAAAAAAGTCTTTCGGAATAAGGAAATAACTATAGTGATGCAGAAAGTTCCAAGGGAAATCCTTTTATGGTGAACTAAGCTGTTATTTTTGTCAACTGCATCAGGTTAACAAAGTCTGATTTCCGTGAGCCTGTAAACATTGGAAGTGACGAAATGGTCAGCATGAACGAGATGGCTGAAATAGTCCTGAGCTTTGAGAACAAGCAGCTGCCCATCCACCACATTCCCGGGCCGGAGGGTGTGCGTGGGCGCAACTCAGACAACACACTCATTAAGGAGAAGCTTGGCTGGGCTCCGACTATGAGGCTGAAGGTACTCTACCAAATTTCACACATACCATGGCTTCAGATCCCTGAATTCGCACCTACATAATCTGATCATTCATTGCACTGAACCCAATTTGGCCTGCAGGACGGGCTGAGGATCACTTACTTCTGGATCAAGGAGCAGCTTGAGAAGGAGAAGGCGGAGGGCATGGATCTGTCGGTGTACGGATCATCCAAGGTCGTGCAGACACAGGCCCCGGTTCAGCTCGGCTCCCTCCGCGCCGCAGATGGCAAGGAGTGAACTTTGGCTGCGCCGGCCAGTCGCCTGAGACCTGGGCAGTGATATACCAGTATACACAATGGTTTCAGTTTCCATGATTTGTAGTCACCACCTATACACCATTTCTTGATTCACTTTTGACTCCACAAGAGGATGATTTGGATGATGGATAGTTTGTTGGCAGTTATGAGATTTAGTTCAAACTTTGAACTAAATGCAAAAAATTCTGACAAAATACCCATCGTCCAAAGACTTATAATAATTTCCATGTTTCTCTCTCTTTTGTGTCTGTACAATAGCATATTACAGAGGTACAACACTTCTGTAAACTGGTGTCACTTTATTTCACAAAAATAGCAATGAATAAATTGAGGTTCAGCATTTCCACTTGGTTATATTTTGTGAAATGCCCGAAAGCAGTCTTGAAATCATGCTTCAGAGAATCACCAGGTGACAGCATGGTATTAACAGAGTTTGATCCAGGCAACTTATCAGTAGAAAATCGTTTGGCAGATTTTCTTGGATCCAGTTTTTTTTAGCAACTCTTGGATCCAGTTTATAAGCTATTGACAGGCCAGGCCGCCAGACGCGATCACCCGGCGAGCCTTTTCATTTAGCCCAGTTAATAGGTGGGCGGGACGAATTGGGCCTGCTATGTATAGCCCAGTAAAGGCCCACACCGCAAATCCACAGACCCGAAGCCCCACGCTTCTCTCCTCGTATAAACCCTTGCCCGGGAGACGAAAACCCCAACGCCGGCAAGAACCGCCCTTGCAATCGCTTGCTCGTCTCGCTCGAATCCGCCGCCACATTCTCCAAACCGTAAGCCCCTAGCCCAATTCCAACCGGAATCCGCGCGTCTTTGTTCTTCCCCACGGTTTCTCGCAAAATTCCGGTCGTTTTCTTTGGTGGTTTTCCTGAAATCGTTGTGGGGGGTTTCGCTTCGTTTTCCAGGTGCGTTTCGCGGGAGCGAGGCGGAGGAGGAAGAGCATGGCCGGGAAGGGAGGGAAGGGGCTCATCGCCGCGAAGATAACGGCCGGCGTGGACAAGGATAAGAAGGCGCCGATCACCCGCTCCGCGCGCGCCGGCCTCCAGGTCGCCCCCCCTTTCTCCGCTCGCTTGTTCTTGTTCCGCTCGTTGCTCTGCTTCGTCCTTGTTCCGCTCGTTGCTCTGCTTCGTCCCTTGCGCGATGAGGGCTCGTTCTTGGGCGTGAAGCTGACGCCTGCTGCTTTCTGTGCGTTCTTGGCATACGGGGCGATGAGGGTTCGTTCTTGAGCGTGACGCTGCTTTCTGTGCGTTCATGGCATACGGGGTGTGGATTGTTTTTGCGGTGGCCTGCCATGTCCGCTTGGAGTGGAAAACGTTGTTCTTGGCCTCTTGTTACGATTAGCGCGAAAGATTTGACTTTTTGGTTGGGGAATTTCTTATTTTAGTCTGCGTAGTCGGGCGTCGGCCTGGAACTCTTGATGTAGAGCTTTCACGTGCGATGCTTATTGGCTAGTTTGATTGTTTGATCATGGATTTGCCGGTTTGCTTGTTTGATCACGGGCGTTGGCCTGGAACACCAGTAGGCAGCAGAAAAAATTAAGATTGTTTATTTGCTGGTTTTCTTGTTTGATCATGTATTTTGGAGCTCTGGGCATTGTCATCGACATAGCATGGCATGTGCGGGTGCAATACTACATTCCAGGGTCGCCAATGAGGTGGATGGTACAGTTTTTATTGATCGGTCATCTAATTGCCTGTGCTGGTTCTTTTCTTCTGGGGTCTATATGTAGGGGATGTTGTGCAATGTTTGTTTCTTTGAGTCTGTGACTCAGGGGCTTAACTCCCAAGTGCTGAATGATACCATATTTGGCGGTGCATGAATTGGGACCATCTAGAGTTGAAACTGAACATAAACATCAATTCTGTGTCTGGATTACCTTACACCTGTTGAGGAACAGAGTACATACGTTGGACTTCAACTTTTCATGTTTTGCTCATGTGTATTCTAGTGCCAACTGACAAGCTGTACCTGAGGACTGGGCATTACCCAGATAAAATGCAACCAATCTATTTGAAGTAGATATGCAGCTATGAAAGTAGTGGAATTTTTATAAATTTGTGTTCATCTTTCTTGAGAACATCCAAAAAATGAATTTGGTGCATGAGCTGTTTGGTCTGGGTGGTTTACATGGGTCTTACAAGTTGTCTGCATTGCTAACCTTGCTTGGTCGTGCCCCCTAGGGACAAGAAGATAGTTCTCAGCCATAGTGTTCTGTCCTGACTGTTAATGCTTATTTAATTTTGAATCAAATTATATGCTACAGAATATGGACAAGTGCTAACTTGGTTTCAATTGTACGTCTATGTCTGTTGTTCATTAATTTGATCCAGAGTTGGATACAATTTCATAAGTGAACTGTACACTAGTATAAGCTTATTTTGTTTTTAGCTCTTCTATCACTATGGTGTTTTTTTAATTAGTTGAGTTTGTCAGAAAATCCAAGATCCAGAGCTTTATCTGTTGCAAGTATATCATTTATTTATTGTTCCTTTGGATTGGGAAAACTAGGATTTGCTTTTCTTGTCGAAGTAATGTCATACAGCCACAACTGGTGTTGTGTGTGCCCTGTTTGCTAGAACTATTCCAAGGCCAAACTGACCATGACACGATTTCCATATCCTTTTGCACCCTGAGCTTTTCAGACGTGGCCTCCCCACATAGTGGAAATCATAAATTATTTAGTCCTAAAATCTTTGCACTGATCAAAACCAGATCAGGTGTCGCCAATGTCTGTCATAATGTGATTGTTCCACTGAGGCCTCTAGGCATCAGGGTCTTGGACCCTCGGGCCCACTGAAGTTCTGAAGGAACAATGGTTCCTAGTTGCAGATATGAATAGTAGAGCTGTGCATTTCAGAAGTCACCACATTGAAAAAAAAGGAAGACACTATTGACTATTGTCTTTACAGACTGCCCTTATGTAGCAGTAGCACTAGCGCCCGTTTAGACCGACTTTGGCTTGTGTCCTCAATCTATTGTGTGGTTGATAGTATTGTCTCATGTATTGTTAGGTGTTGATTTGCCACATCCACAAAAGTTTCTGCAATCCCCTGTATTTACTTTGTGCGGAGAGTATAGTCTGGTCAGGGCATCGGGCATGTAGTATGTTTCTATTGCTGAGCTTACACTGCATGTCTTCTTGAATTATCTTTTGCTTTTGTTTCAGAAGAACATCAAACAGTAGATGACTGACTACATAAGTTATAACTTCATTATAAGCTGATTGATCATGTGTAAATTTCAGTTCCCTGTCGGACGCATCCACCGCCAGCTGAAAGAAAGGTCACAGGCCAATGGGCGGGTGGGAGCAACAGCGGCCGTGTACGCGGCAGCCATCCTGGAGTACCTGACAGCAGAGGTCCTGGAGCTGGCTGGGAACGCGAGCAAGGACCTCAAGATGAAGCGCATCAGCCCCCGGCACCTGCAGCTGGCGATCCGCGGGGATGAGGAGCTGGACACCCTGATCAAGGGCACCATCGCCGGCGGCGGCGTCATCCCCCACATCCACAAGTCCCTCATCAACAAGGGTGTCAAGGAATGAATGAGCAAGTCTGTCGGTGACTCGGCGGCGCTGTCATGTCAGTGGTTCTTATCTATACTATAGAGGAGCGAAGGAATTATAAATCCTGTCTCGATTTTCTATCCAACGCTTGATATAAACCTGATAAGCGGACCAAAAACGAGAAGGACGATGACGAAACACGCTTCCCTTGTGGTCGGCGACCGATCTCTACATCCGCTTCGGTTTTTTTTACGCAGGACGAACGTACCCGCCGCCTGTACCCGTGTCCACTAACCGCCGCGGCCACATCCGCTCGGAGGCACAGCGTGGGGGCGCGGATTCGGGACCGCTTGGAGGTGCAGCGTGGGGGCGCGGCTCGGGGGTTTCGAGCGACCGGCGGCGAACGGACGCCTCCCTTTTTTCTTCCTAGGTATAGAGACGAGCGCTCGAAGGCGCAGCGCGGGGGCGCGGCTTCGGGGTTTCAAGCGTCCGGCGGCGCGCGGCGTTCGTCCGCTCGATCGTCGGCGCTGCCCGCGTCTTGTTTGGGCGAAGGCGGAGGCCGGAGGCAGAACGCGCGCGGCCTCGGCATTCGCTGGTGGCCGGTCAGCCGGCGACGGTGCGCATCGACATTCCGCCCACGAGCCCCGGCCGGGCGGCGTTCAAGGTGTGGGACTGTGGGAGGAGCTCGTCAACGTGCTCCGCAAGGACGGAACGAGCCGACCCCGCCGCCGCCTTCGTCCACCGCAAAGAAGGTCCAGCACACCCAGATGAACATCCGCGACGCCTTCCTCGCACTCTACCGCGGCCTCGACATCCTCAAGAAGTTCAGGTATGGATATGATGGTCGATGCACTCTCTTTCTCTCGATAGCGACAACTGATCAAGCCGACGTCCTCCAGACTCCAGTTCGACCTTCTTCACGCGCATCATCGACCATCGCCATCGTTACTCTGTTGTCAACACCCGGCTTAATTAATACAGATTTGCTAATAGTCAACCGGTTGTACTCTGCATGCCATATATCGCAGGCGCAAGAAGTGGAGCCCTGGAGGTGCAAGCCGCCGGCGATTAGCACACGTACACAAGCCAGCGAGTGCCATGCATGCCCACAAAGCGCCAGAGTTCGTCCTTTGTAGCTACTGCATTGTTTTTTTTATTAATATTTGATCAATTTCACTCCATCCACTCCATCCTGAGATTTCCGTATTTACTTTGTCTAAATTGTATAGTTAGTATGAACCACAATATGGATTTTGCTCCTTTTGGTCATGGTCCAGGCCCTGAAGTAGTCAATAATGAAAAGAAAACTCTACTAGAAGCATTATTTAAAGTATTTATGTGAAATAAAATCTCCTCAAAACTGCCTTTTTCACATGTGTATTTCAAATTAAAATATTGTTACTTCACAAAGAAATAAAATATTGTTATATGAACGACCCCGTTCAAAATCTTGATCAGGTAATGTGATCTATATTAAATCTGGTAATGGGACACAAATTTACAAAACCCTCTATAATGCCAATCTCAATTCATTGCATCACATCAGTCATCAATCCTCTGGAAAGCATATAACATTGGTCATATAAATACAGCTTTATGTTTCCAAGGTTGGATTTCACATTACTGTTTTTTTTCTGAGGTAGCTTCTCTCTCTAAAATATCCTTATCATACGTAGGTGAAAGCAGTATATTTCTGAAGTACTTCATAGTGTTTCTTTTTCGCATGAAACAGTACCATTTACATTGAACCAAGTACATGGGAAATGGCTGAAGAGCTGAAGAAGGGGCAGTACCATTATATGGCATTGAATAGTTGTTATATAAAGCTTTGAATTCTTGCATTCTTGTTTTTAATTTGAAAAGTTAATAGGGTATAACTTTATTTTAACTATTTTGTTACATTTTTTAAAACTAGCTAACTGGTATTATGTATATAGGTTGTGGCCTATTAAATGGAAAATGAAAAAAGTTATGACGTATAGGGTTACACGTAGCTTGTTAAACTTTAAATAAAATATTTACAATGAACTGATGTTGTCATAGATTTGTGACGATGGCCAGTTAGCATGTTATGATGATTTATAGTTAGTCACAATATTGAAATCCTTTATTTTACAACGATTTCAACGGGTTCTTAACGACGGCCAAAGAATTTTTGTCATGAAGTCATATTAACACAAAAAAGCATAGTAAAATAGACTGACTTAGAAACAAATTTAGACATCCTCAGGAGCAAATCATCATAGAAGGTCATGTCTTTTGTAGTGATAGGATTTGTATAAAGTGCATAGGGCTCAGGGAGAGGTAAATGTGTTTGTGTGTTCTTGAATTTTGGATCAGAAAACGGTAAGTGGACATTGTGCCAAATTTCTCATTTTTCATCGATGTTGTGTTTGTGTGCTTATATATCAGATGGCAATTGTAAGCTACTACTTCGTTTGAAGAAGCTTGAAACTTCAGTGAATAATGCTGTGGAAGATAAGAATTCAGATTCTTTGATCACCGAGTTTATTTCGTTCTTCATGCTTCCAACATGGTTTCTAGGTGATTGATGTCTCTCATCCATATCCTTCACAATATTCCAGCCAAAGGTTTAATAGCGAATCATCATGCTTTAAAAGTTTTGGTGGGAAGATCTCTATGTTTGTCTTACACACCGTTATTCTCATTTTTAAATATTATTACGATAGCAGGCTGATATGGACATAATTAGGGTGATTGACTAATCTTAACATTTTATATAAGAAAAGAAACCGAATGTAATGCTGGCTGAATGTTTGTTAACATTTTATGAACCCAGTGCTGATATATTCGAAATTATTTAGGTTTAAAATTTTAATCTTATATAATTAAAAGATACATTTTTTTCATAAACTTTAGGGGTTGAATTTGTAATCTTGAGAAAATGTATGTTTTTGTCTTTGTAAAATAAAATGTAATAGTCATGAACTCAACACTTCTCCTATTAAAGAAAAAACTTTTTTTAGACACGCGCGTGTCGCACGTGCATTTCCACTAGTCGTGATAACCTCTGAGACAAACTTGGTAACCTGAGAAGATTGCCTATGGCTGCTGATCATATACTCCCTCCGCCCCAAAAAGAGTGTCATTTTTTACTTTCAGACATCTTCTTATTCAATTTTTTTGTATAAATATCATATATTTTATTATGACTTATTTTATCATTAGAAATACTTTAATAATTATTTATTTATTTTATAATTTATATAAAATTTTTTGAATAAAACGGACAGTCAAATACGACGTCTGAGAGTCAAAAATGTCACTCTTTCCGGGATGGAGGGAGTACACTGTAATCTGTGAGATGTCTCGGCTACGGTGCCTGAACCTCTTTGGGCTTCTTGGTTGTTGCTACGGTGGGTACCCTGTCGGTTAAATATGTTCATGTTCTGCTGGGATTGGTTGGGCAGTTTGGCTGTGCTCTGCTCTGCTCTCTCTCTCTCTCTCTTCCCTCATCATACAACTTACTGGGCCGTTACTCTGCTCATTGGGCCTCCGCTCTACAAATGTATCTGTCATAGTAGTGGATAGAGCCCAACTACTGGAGTATTTGGTACTTCACTCTCCTGTGGCGAGAGAAAGGAACATCTTGAATTCTTGATCTGGGGCCAGGGCATGGGCTGAATTTTTCCCAGAGGCCGGTCTCCACCACCATCCATAAACCGCTTTTGTAAATCCCTGACGATGAAGCATTTCGCCGTGGTACGGCAAGGGCAGAGGGAATTTCCGGGGAAAAGAAACGTACTGAACTTTTGGGTAACCTTGGGACCAAGTGTTGCCCAACCCAGAGGCAGGGCACGCTAGGTCCCTGCTCTGCTTTTGGAGCCACCACCACCTGACATGCCAAGCAATCTAAGCATTGGGTACTGGGTAACATGCATGGGGGAGTCGTAAAACCCTTTTGGTTCATCCCTGTCACGTGCCAACGCTACCCCAGGCACACCTTGCATGGCACGCACTGCATCGTGCCATGGGAACTTTCAGCGTCACGATGCCGCTCCATGGCCACATCGAGAAAGAGGATCATGGCCTGTTTTGTGACAGACAAATACTAGGACTACCAAACACACTACGCTTTCATATGCCATCCTATTCCTTGTAGTTTCATCTTGAGCTGCCGCCTGCCGTGCCATGCTGGGGTCACCAATCCATGGAGCTTTTCCTAGTGTTTCCCGCGCAAAAAATCTACTCCAAAAGCTAGCATTGTGAGGTTGTAGTGTCTGGAAATAAAGGGTTAGCTTCCTTCTCCCGGCAAAGCCCTCACATAGTCACATGTGCTTTTTTTTGGGAGCTCAGCAAGGTTGGGGAAAACATAGTGGAAAGTGTAAGATGGGCAGGAGCATAATCGCTGCTGCCGTGTGGGGTTTGCATTGTAGGATGTGTGGAAGAGGGCGAGATAGAGATGGATGGATGGATAGATCAACCGATCGCACGCAACACAATCCATGCTTGCTGGGGCAGGCAGGCACCCTCACACCTCCCATCGGATCATTGTTCAGTGTCTCATGGATGAGATGAATAATGCCTTTGCCCTTCTCTCAAGTCACTGTCACGCTGACCCAAAAGAGACACGTACAGGCAGTAGTGTAGTCTCCTGCTCTTACGCTCTTCTCAAAACATTTTCTTTTTCATTATTCCTTCATGGATAGGGGGGGTGGGACCCATTGTCTGATATATGGCTGTTAGAGTGTGGGATCCAATTGCAATGTGTGGGTGGAGGAATCGCCGGGGGGCACTGCTACAGAGGCTAAACCTTCAAGTGAATTGGCTGGTGCATGAAACGCAATGAGGTGCATGAAACCAACACGAAAAGGCCGGAAATTCCTCGCGGAGCAGAAGAAGAACACATCATCTGCCATCTTTGAACCGGCAATGGCATTTTCTGTTATGTAGTGCTGCTACATTGATGCTAAAATGATTATGATGAAGCCTTGCTCCGCCTGTTGTGTACGTCGAGCGTGTCACTGTCATGTGTTCCATCCTGGTTCATGCTGAGCTTCATGTGTGGTTTCAGGAAA